TTGAAACATCTGAAGAAATTGAAAAAGTATCTTCAAACGATGAACGCCAGTCTGTTATCGAAAAGCTTGATGAGGTGAGTTCCAACTTTTTAAAGATTGTTTTAGTCAGTTCACTCTGATTAAAATTAAGCATAGAGCAATATTTTTTCAGGTTCAAGAATGGTTGTATACTGATGGTGAAGATGCGAGTGCCACGGAGTTTCAAGATCGTCTAAATTCATTGAAAGCAGCAGCTGACCCAATATGTTTCCGGTATCATCTTTTTTCTTCAGATTTTATAATCGTGCCAATATAGTCTGCACAAACATACATTAGAAGGGCTTAGGAATGGTGGACTGAAACAATTTTTTGTGGCTATTGTTTAGATTTAAAGAGTTGACTGCACGACCTGAAGCAGTAGAAGTTGCACGACGTTACCTCACTGACTTGCAACAGGTATGCCAGATTGTTTATCTATACATGCTTTCTAAAGGATATTTACAAGGTTTAGTTTAGTTGTTACTCTTGGGGGGTAGAGATCTCATGTTTTGCATAGACATGCCCTTCATTCCAAGGCACAATTCCATAGATGCCTTGATAATCCTCTAAGATCAAAGCATATTGTTGACTATGACATGGATATTTTACTTTTGTGGTTATCTGTGTAGACTATTCGCGGGTGGGAGACGGACAAACCTTGGCTGCCGAAAGACAGAATAGATGAGGTATTTTGTTCACCTTCAAAATTCTCTTTATGATATTTTCTAAATGAGATTTCTGCTTATCTTGCGGCAAAAATTTGAATACCCTTTTGCGTTTCAGTTGTCGAGCAGTATGGACAAGTTGAAGACTTGGTTGGATGAGAAGGAGGTGGAGCAAAAGAAGTAAGTTATTGCTGCTAGTTTTATGTTCAAAGTCATTGCATTCGTATAACATAGCGCGATGTTGGATCTTTATGTATGTGTAATATGTGTGTGTGTGTGTGTGTGTGTGTGTGTGTGCCCCTCTATTCATTTCTTGAAGTTCCTAGTACAAGTCCCAACATAGGTATAGGGTGGACCAAGGACCCTTGTTAATCTTGAAAGATAATCGGACATATCCATGTCCAACACAATGCCCGTATTTGATTCTCATACCGGAGTCCGAATAATATAGCCCTTAATGACACCCTATAACTCTCCTCTTCTCGTCCTAATATTTTAGTTGTATTCTCTAAGAAAGCATATGTTTTCCGCCTGCTATAGTGTGTCTCCCGTTTAATCTGCTTTCGAACCTTGTTCTTTGGTGCTCAACTTAACAAAGCTCATTCTAACCTTCTCTCCAGGATGCCGGGTTACAGCACGCCTGTTTTCACGTCTGAAGAAGTGTACGAGAAGGTATTCAATTTGCAAGACAAGGTATGGCTGCTTGTTCTATTTGATAATAAGGTCACCTTGTTGTCTGCTTAAACGCGTGTAACTCGTGGTTAACACGCCGCTTTTTGTTTAGGCTGATAGCGTTAAGAGAATTCCGAAGCCGAAACCTAAAGTTGAGAAGCCTCCAAAGAACGATACCGAGACCAAATCAGAGAACACAACCAGTTCCGACTCAACTCCTGAGAAGGATACCTCCGAAAACGACAAACCAGCTGGGGACTCGGATGGTTCAACCGATGAAGAAGTGGATGGAGAATCCGAGCCACACGATGAGTTATAGTCCATTTTAGCACAAGAAGCAAGACTCGTTTAACTAATTTATATAGCCTTTCAGTATCTTGAGATTGATGGTAGCATCCAAGGTGGTTGGAAGGCAGTTATGCCGATGGATTCTCGGTTCCCTCCATCGGAGCATTTCTTGGTAGTCTAGCTTTGCCCCGGTGACGACCTTAGAGAATTTTGTCATTGAAAAGGAACTACTGTTTCGGTTTTCGATATCCTTAAAAAATAGATAGATAGACAGATAGAAAGGATGCGGACCTTGAATCGTAAGGGACTGATCTTCTTGGGAATCAAGTTAAAGTTGTTAGGGTTTGTAACACCCTCTTTTGACATCAAATGTTTTGTTATGGAGTTGTGATCTCGAAATTCAAACTTAAAATCCATCGAATTATACTTCTAGTTGGATGCGTGGATTGCATGTTTTATTAGCCTCGAAAAATAAAAGATAATATTTATTCACGATATTCTTAATAATTTAACAGTTAATGTTTATTTATTCTTACAAATGTCGTGTTCAAATTCAATACATCAGAGGATGACAATAATTCTTTAACTATTGAGGTTATTTAGTTCGTATAATTATTTTATAACACATAGTTTATAACATGAATAAGTAGTAAAATTTACTTCTAGTTAAATATTGTAAGCACTTTTTTGAAGGTAAATATTGCAAGTGTTTTTCCCCACATATATACAACCAAATAATAACGCAATCGAAACTTAATTCTAATTCTCCATAATCTCAATAAATTAACAATAAATGCAAAGCATAGATCAAGGAATAAATTGGGAATATAAATTTATTTACATGAAAATAAAAATTAAAAAAATAAGTTGATAAAAGAAGGTAAGAATTTTCACCTAAAAGTTGACTTTTCCAGGCCAGTTATTGAAAATATAACCAAATATGTTTCACTATGATGTGATCATGAAAGATTGATGTATTAGGTTCATAAGATAATCTTTTTTGATATAAAAGGTGTATAACGTTTTTAAGAATATTTACAGAGTAAATTAATTAAATTGTTAAATAAAAAAATAAAATAAATTAATTTTTTGGCAAATTTTAATATATTTTTTAAATTTTTACACATTATTATCATGTTATATATCGTAATTATATAATATTCAATTACTGAAATTTAAAATAAATTTTAAAAAATATCATTTAACAACAATAGATTATAATATATAATATTAAATAATTAATATAAATTAAATAGTCAATTGATAAAATTTTAATGTATATAAGTTTAAGAGTAAAGTACACGAATAGTCCCCTGACTATAGGGTACTACTTTATTAAGTCTATTAACTATTAAAAGTTGTAAAATGGTCATCTAACTATATAGTGTTGTTTTGTTGAGCCCTTCAACTATCAAAAGTCACAAAATGATCACTAGACTATTTATTATGTTCTAAACTCGTCGTTTTTCGTAAAAAAATTGGCGGTTGTATAGGTTAGATGTTAACATGATTACTGAGAAGTAATGATCGTTTGAGATTTTAGGATCGGATTTTATCCTATCATATTCAACAAATTAACGTTCATCTCATAATATCATCAATTTTTTAACTGAAAAGGATGAATTTGGAACATAATGAATAGTTTGATGATCATTTTGTAATTTTTTATAGTTGAAAGACTGGACAAAACAATACTATAGTCAGAATACTAATAGTCGATAACTTAATAAAATAATACCCTATAATCTAGAGATCATTCGTGTACTTTATCCTAAATTAAATCGAATACAAAAAATCATAAAATTTAATTGACTTTTATTTTGAAATTTTACTTCTTCAGAAGTAACCTAAATTTCCCACATTTTTTAACCTTTTTGTTTTTATTTTTTAAATTTATTTCCATTTTTCACGTATATGTATAGGTGATATTTAGGGTAAATTACAAATTTGATAATTGAAATTTCAAATAATTCATATTTTACTTACTGTACTTTCAAAATTTCAATTTACTCACTTAACTTTATAAATTAAATTTTTTTTATCACTATGCTATTAAATAATTAAAGATATTACGACGTTAAAAATTATACCAAAATAAAATAGTTTTGAATATCTAGAAAAATTAAATTTTCACCAAAATAATATCATTTTGATCTAAATAAAAAACTATATTCCTTTTTCACCTTCATTTTCTTTTCATTTTCCTCTTTATTCTTCTTCTCATCCCTCTTATTTACATTTTATACTGTGGAAGCTGAAATCAAACAACCAGAAAATGATTGTTCAAATCTGAAAAAAACAATCATTGGAATCGTTCCCGTTCATCTTCTTCTCAATATTCACTTGGCGGAGTTCCTTGACCGGAGAGTCCCTGCTAATGTGAATCCAGTTGGTGGGGTTTTCTCATTCGATATCCTCATCGATCGAGCCGCTGGCCTCCTGATTCAGGTTTATAGACCAGCTATCGGTGAAGAGCCTCAGCCGATTATTGTTGATCTTGAGAGGCCTGTTACGGCTGAGGTTGTCCCTATTATAATTTTCTTTCACGGCGGAAGCTTCGCGCATTCCTCGGCAAATAGTGCTATATACCCCACCAACAGGGATTCTCCAAACAATCGTTTCGTTGCTGCCTTCGATGATTTGCTCATGAAACTCGCCTTGATTAATCGTTCCCATTCATCTTCTCCTTTATCTTTCTACACTTCAGCTTCCTCGTCTTCCTCTTGTTCATTGATAAAGTTGACTGAATATGATAAACATAGCCAAATTTCATGAATGAAACCCCATTTCCATTCCCATTTCCAAATTTCATGAATGAAACTCCATTTCCATTTCCATCTTTCAATTTTCATGTTTATCTGCTGGGATTTTGGGGTTAGGTATTTGTGGTTTTGCATAGGATTTGTTTTCTGATTAATTTTTGTTTTGTTTTGAGTTCACTCGATCTAAAAAGAGGAAGCGAGGAAGTCTAGTTCGATTAAGTCAAGGTTTTTGCTTTGTCCGACCACCGTGGGCGGTGGTCAAAATAATGAACGTCACAGATTTATGAAGACGGATGGGTTCTTGATGGGTTTTTTCGAAGAAAATGTGGGGGTTACGAAGTAAAAATCAAGGTTTTTGGTGTTATGGTTGCTTTACCGTCATGGTTAACGACGGTTGGAGGCGGGGATGGCCACCAAAGTGGTGGCCGATGAGATGTGCTAGGGTTTGGAGTCTTCTTTCGAGTTAAGTTTTAATATTATATGGCAAAAAAAATCAATGTCTAAAGTTAAGTGACAAATTAAAAATTTTAAAAGTACAGTGAATAAAATAAAAATAGTATAAAAGATCAATTGTCAAATTTATAATTTACCCGTATATTTATGATCTTATTAGTACAAAGCTTTAAGCCCTCCCAATTCCCATCTATTTCTCGAAGTCGATGCAGTCTTCTTCACGCCCATGCTCTTCTTCTTTAGGTAAACATCACTTTCTCATATTAATTTCATCATAAAATTTTAATAACAATTGCTTCCTTTTCAAGAGAGAACCCTAGATCTCTCTCTCTCTCTACAGTTTCTGTTTCTGTTTATGTATTTATTTGTTTGTTTGTTTCACTCTCGTTTTTTGTATTAAAAAAAATCATGGATTGTGAAAAAATGAAATGGGTATTTCTTGTTTTCAAGAACCCTTTTTTCCTCAAGGCTTTGATTCTTTGTTCGTAATTTTCGTTCACATAGGACTTTGATTCTGTGCACAAATCAGTCAAGAATTGAGAAAGCTTAAGTGGGTATTCAGTATTCACTGTTTTTGAAGGAAAAAACAACTAAAAGGGGATTTTTTTTGGGTTCAAAGTGTTGATCTCTGTGTGGTTTCAATTCAAAGGGCTGATCTTTTGTGTGATTTTGTTTCAGATAAGAGCTTGGTTAAGTGCATAAACGGTCAATAATGGAGAAAAATGAAGTGGGTGTTTAGTGGTTTTGAAGAAGAAAGGGAAAATTATTGGTTCTAAAGGGCTGATTTTGTGTATTTTTGTGATTTAGTACATACAAAAAGTGAAGAACTGAAGTGGGTGTTTTCCTGGTTCTGGAGAGGTAAGGTGATTTTTTTTGTTCAAAATGGTGATCTTTGTGTAATTTTGGTTCTCTCAGGAGCTAGGTTTAGTTCGTAAACCGGTCGAGGTTGAAATTTTCGGTTTGAAGGACTGATCTTTGTGTAATTTTGGTTCTCAGGAGCTAGGTTTAGTTCTTAAACCGGTTGAGGTTGAATTTTTCGGTTCGAAGGACTGATCTTTGTGTAATTTTGGTTCACATTGGTGCTTTGTTGAGAAGATTTTTGTTTTGGAATGGAAGGAGTGATGGGTGCAAACACTGCTCAAACAAGTTCAGTCAATAAATCCCAAGTTCTGGATGTAAAACCGGTACGCACTTTGGTTCCTATATTCCCAGGGCCGTCCGAGGGTGCTCCTTTTGTTTGTGTATCTCCTAACGGCCCTTTCCCATCCGGGTTTTCGCCCTTTTTCCCATTTAGCGGATCAAGCCCTAACCAAAATGGCGTCAATCCAACTGCTTCACCGATTCGACCGTTTACGGTCGAACCTTCTAATGGCCAGAACGAATCACCACCGATGGCTGCACGTGGTGATCAAGGACAGAAACCGGCTACAACAATGGCTGCACATGGTAATCAAGGACAGAAACCAGCTACACCAATGGCTGAACATGGTAATCAAGGACAGAAACCGGCTACACCGGTGGATGCACACGTTAATCCTATCAAGAAAAGGGGTAGGGGAAGACCGAGGACTCGGTTTCCTTAGTAGCCGCTGCTTGGTAATCTCAATGCTGGAGTTAGTGTATCTGAACAATAAGATGTTAACATGGGTGACTAGGCTGGAAAGCGTGGGTTTCTAGGTATGATGCATTTAGGAGGAAACATTAGCCGAAAGGAAGATGCGAACGAATCGAATATTCCGGCAGTGCTGGATACAGGGTTGCCGACTGATACGAGAGAGATAATCGGGGTCGTTTGATGACGGAATCGTAGACCATCGATTTCTTCCTAATGGTGATTTACAGGGAGAGCTGTTGGTATTCTTTGAGAAGGTAGATTTTCGTGTATTTCTTCTATATCGTATCCTTGTATCCGTTCTCGAATATCGTAGATCGCGAGTTTACACAAGTACTTTAAGAACAATGAAGAGTCGAAATCTTTCGATATCTATCGAGCTTATTCGGATTTGATTTGGTTTGACTATATTTTTTTGATATTTCGAAATCGATATAGCAACCCATGTTTAAGCATGAAAGTACAAATTCCAAAGTGATGTAAACCAGAAGTAACACATAGTAAAATACAACTCGCTAAGTCTGATGCCACAACCATCATCGTCGATCGTCTCTCAGTAGACCGACCATGATCGTCATATGCCATTCTATCCCGCACATCACCATTACTCCTTCGATCATCTTCGCTATACCTACTACGGCTTCCATGGTGCTCATCCACGTCCCTTCCACGAGATATCTGTATTTATGGTCCGTCTCATCTTGTTCCCTCTTCATCCCTGTCATGCCTTCGTCCACCTCTCCGATCTTCGTAACCCCGATCATCTCTCTTAGATTCACTATCTGGTTTGCTAATCTTACTATGAAGTCTGCCGTGTTGTCTGCCACTCTCGTCGTCTGGATCTCCTCCAGACCTGACTGGCCTAGAATAATCATCCCCCTCCCACCTAGAGTATTCATCCTTATCCCGGTCATTTTCCAAGCACCTATAATATCCATCCCCATTCGAATCATCTTTTTCCCCATAAGCTTTAGCCACTGATTCAGAGTCGAACTTGGTATCGTTAGGATTATGCCTTTTGTGCTCCGTGTCTCTTCCTAAGTTTCGACTTCTTGACTCTGGTTCTGATGAAAGTTCTTAGGTTTCGTGGAGTCCCCCCGGCAAAATTATGGGCGAAACTAAGCAGGGGCCAAGTTAGAGTCTTGGTCCTTGTTAATTAATTTTTTTAATATTAGTTAATATCAAAATATTATATTTCTTAAAAATAAATAAAATAAACTTTTTTGAGACCCTTAATTAAAAAAAATTATATTTTTGAGAAACAAAAATATTTTTTAAATTCCTTCCATAATTTTTTGGTTTGGTTATGTTTTTATTCGTATTGTCTGTCTGATTTCTTCATAGTTTTTTAGGTCGTGAGTTTTAAACTTACTAAGAATATTCTCTTTTCTTTCCATCACGTAGTGTTTTTTTTTTAAAGATCTTGAATTTGAGTAGTTGCGTTTGTAGAGTAGAGTATATGTGTGTGTCGTCAATAATCAAGATATATTTTTAATAGATATTATCTTGTAAATTATCTTTAATTATTCAAAAAATTAATTTATTATAGTTAAATACATATGATTCCCTACACTATTTATTTTAAATTACTATCATATTATTGAACTAGATTTATCTTATAAAATAATAGTTATTGGTTTAATTATTATAAATATAACAATATAATGACTATTTTATAATAATTTAATAAATCTAATGATTATTCTATAACTTTTGAAACTTTATTGATCAAAATATTATCTGAGCATAGTTTAATGACTTTTGGTGCATTTTATCATAATAAAATAAATCTAGAGATTAAAATGTAATCTATAGAATAATACAGGGACTTGCACAATACTTTTACCCTTTAATAAACACAATGAGCTGTTTGGGTCATCCACTGGCGGGCACCCAACTGCTTATGATATATCCATAATCCCTGAGAATGATCTAAAACCCTAGAACCCTCGAAACACTTCACCGCAAAATCCCAATCTCTCGTCAGCCTGCAAATCCCGACTGTTTCTTTAGCACTCGGTGATAACCCAATGAGACCTCGCTTCAATTCGTTTCACCATCAACCCCAGCAGGTAGCCTTCTTTGACTCTCTCTTACACTCTTTATTTCACGTCTTTTCGAATTTGGAATTTGATTTTCATTGATCAGAATGGATTTCAGTCAAGTTCGGGGGGAAACCAGGGCACTAGCAACATGAACATGCTTATGATGCAACCTCAAATGGGTATTTTTAATATTAATAGTAATCCCAGTGTTATGCCATTGTTGAATAATGTTGGATTCATGAATGGAGCTAACCAGCAGTTTTATACGCCAAGTAATAATTTGGGGTTTCCTCATTTCGGTCCAATTTTGCCGAACCCGAATAATCTTTCGATTATCCAACAACTTCCTGCTCAATTCAGTAACCCTTTGCACAATCCGAATCAGCCGAATTGGTTGAATTTCCCCCAACAAAGTAATATTGGTTTGACAAATGGGCAGCCGCCGCCGCCGCCGCCGCAGCAGCAACAGCAACAACAGCAGCTTTTTTTACAGAATCAGTTGCAGAATCTGAGTCGGCTTTTAAATGTTCAACTCCCTCATCTCTCACAGCTTGTTTCTGGTGGTCAAGCAATGGGATGTCTCAATCCTACTGCTGTTCAGAATCCGCATTTCGGGTTTATGCAGCCAAACCCGATGCAGCAGCAAACTTTATCCGATGTTAATGCATCCAATTTGTCTTCTGCAGCAGCTTCACAAGTACAAGGAGACCCTTCTTTGAGAAAGCCAATGGTATATGTTTTTACTCCTTTACTGTTTCAACATTGTGCTTAGAGGCTAGAGCTGAGTACATACTTCCATTTTTCTCAATTAATGTTAACTCTGAAATTTGTTTGAGAAAGTCTGATTGCCTTTGGTCGATTAAAGCATCTATTTTAGGGGATGCAATTCTTTCAAAGTTTCAATGACTTCTGAGAATTTGCATTATCTATTAATCAGTGACTTCTGAGAATTTTGAAGGATATACTTATTACTGAATATGCTCCTTCAGTTGGGAATCTTTTCTTAATGGCTTATGCTATCCCTTTTCCCTATACAGAACTTCTCAAGCAGTTTTGAAGTCATTTAATGAGAAAATTTACAAATTGTTAACCTGGAAATGGTTGATACATGGCATTAAATGTTCTTTCCATAATGTTTTGGGTCTATTTTATCTTTTTGTTTTGGCTTTTGAAATTAATATGCCTTTTCAATTCTTGAAGAGCGGTCCCGGTAAAAATGGTCAGAACGTGAACAAATTTTCCGGAAGAAATGCTAAAAGGGATGCAAAATTGGGGTTGGTATTTTTAAACATCTTTCGGTTTCTAGTTTCTCTTTGTAAAAAGACTTCGATTTTTTTGGCTTTTTATACAGCTGAAATTCAATTTTTGTAGATTTCAGAAGTCTAAGTTCCAGCAGCCTCGGTTCCATCAAGCAGATAATGCAAAGAGAACATTTGCATCTTCTAATGGACATAAGAAAAAAGGTTAACATTTTAGTGAATTTCAATTAACCTATAATTTTCTGCTTAATGAATTTCAAGTAACTTAAATATATTTATCTTTATTTTGTCTTAAAACATCCAACTAAAAAGATTAAAGAAAGAAGAGAAATAGAAGTTATTTGACATTTGCAATATCAATAAAATTGTCACATCATCTGCTTTGTAGCTCAAATGGAGTCAATTATAGATGAACTGGGACATGTAGGAGTTCAAATCTAAACTCTTGATTTCTTAATCTTGTGTTTGGTTATCTATTCTCTAATGAATATGATATCACAATTGTTTCCTAACTAGTAATTCCAATTATTTGATTGAAAATTAAACTGCAAGGTCTGGGTGCTACAATAATTTCTTTGGAATAGTCAAAAACAGGGTTTAAGTAGGAAATCCCAGCTAGTCATATGTTTCAAGATATAGAATAGGATATGCAAAGTGGATAGAGTGATCGATGGAATTTGCTTTTAGTGTTGATATTTATGTTTCAGACTGAGAAATATGTTTTATTCAAACATTTAATTTACAATTGCCAAAAAAAAAAATTATAGATGGAATGTTTCCTGTTTTATTCTTTCCTATTGGTTGGAAACTAAAAAACCGAGAATGGTTATTAAAAATATAGTTTGTTTGATTTATTTTAATTCACATGTGATTGCCAATGTATAGATATCTAATAATTTATGGTTGAGATGAAGTACCGATTTGTCACCATTTCTTTATTTTTTTTTTCTCTTTTAAAAATTAGCCAGACAATTTTTCCCATGCATAATTTTACGTTTTTGGTGACAACTTGAAAATAGATATTGGATTCCTTTCTACCTATCATTTTCTTTTATTTCTTTGGAAAAAAATTCTAATTTGTTCTCACTTCGGATAAAAATAACAGGACGGGATAATGAGAGGGCATCTTACTTTCCTCATCCTGATTCTGCAAATCCAGCTAAGGAAAAGAGAAGGTAATTTTTGTTTGCTCATACTCATCTATCAAAATTATAGGAGGTAACATGGGGCATTTTTTAGTTGAATATGCTTTTACAAATGATGTATGCTACATCCAGACTGTGGATATCATGATTAAATCATGGGTGTTTTAATGGTATCGATTGGGGACACTGGGTTCTGTTGAGCATTTACATGAATCACTTTAAATTGTAAGTTAAATGGTATAGGATTGGCGTGAGTTGAGAACTGAGGATGGATTGCATTAAGTTCAAATAAATGGGTTTTATACGGTTAATTTTATTAATTCCTTTAATATCGCCACGGTCGGAATCATTCTATGCAATCATGTTAAAAACATTAGTTGCCTAACCCTTAATTGATTCCATTTCAGTGAGGTGTTTAAGTTCTTACTCTTATAAGGTTGAATTATTGATGATCAGTCAATTTAACATCTGCAATTCAAGGCCCTAAATGTCCCAGGATGAAATTTCACTTTTTGAATGAAAATGGAACAATGAATGCTCATGCGCTATTGGTTTACTTGTTTTCATTTGCTAATATCAGAATTTTTAGAATTCCACAGCGTTTTGGTGTTTTAAGTTGTATGAGTGTAGCTGTTTAAATGTATGATAGCCTAGCATATATTTCAACACTTGCACAAAAGTGTTCGTGTAGTCTTTGATAATAATTCCCAACAGGGAGGCTAGTGGGACCGAACTAATTCTAGTTCACAGTTTAGTGAAACCATCCCCAACAGATCTTCTTTTCCTAAGCTTATGATTAACATTTTCCGTACTTTGTCATATATTTTCTCGCATGTTAGATTTATGTGTCAAAAATTCTTTTGTAAATGAGAAGATCGCTTGATTTGACTTATACGGAGCAAGAAATAAGACAATGGCGTGAAGAACGTAAGAAGTTCTATCCGACAAAAGCTAACATAAAGAAGGTTGAATTTAGCTGTTGAATGCCTTTCCATTTCACTTCATTTTTTTTTCATTTAAACATGTTCGATGATAATTGACTTTGTTGGCTGCAGAAACTGAGTAGAAAAGTAGCAAACACCGAGGTTGCCAAATTACGTAGTGAGGTACATTTCTTATTTCCTCCTGATCTATTACGAACTTGTTTGTATTGCATAAACCTGAGCATAGGATCAATTTCATCTTAAAGGGGATCTATCTAGTCTACAAACGTTTGATGCTTTCCTCTTATAAGCCTGTTGTGTGTCTCGTCCAAAGTATACATGTCTATTTTGCTCGTCTCTCCTCTCTCTATTTTTTCCTCAAGTATCCTTGTCCTGGTACATTTCGGACTCTGTCTAAATAACATAATGGGTGCCCCTTGTTCCCATATGTAATGGGGTAAGGGGGAGGTAAGATAGTAGGCTGCCCCCAACACCAGGTTGAGAGCAGCTTCCGTAGAAGACCTCCTAATTATGAAATGCCCTCCGTGTAGTAGTATCTAAGATTTGAGAAAATTGGCATTGTAAGCATGTTTAAAAATGATAAATATTGATGAAAAGATTACTAAAGTTTCCGGTATGGGTTTACAGAATCTAAAACAGGCAATTAGTGTGTCACGATTAGTGCACGGTGGTCGGATTGAGGCTTCATTGTCGCCAGTCTATATAACTGAAATTTTTTCTTGATATCTTTCTTCTTCTTCTTGTTATCTATTTATTTCCTTGTAATATATATCCAAACCTTTGTTGCAGCAACTTAAGGAGATTTTGGCAAAGCAAGCTGAGCTAGGAGTCGAAGTTGCAGAAATTCCGACACATTATCTGTTAGGTTCGGAGAAAAAGGTGGTAAGGGAAGAAAACCACAGGCTGTCAACCAAGAGGGGAAGATTTGGAACGAGGAATGATAAAAGAGGGAAACTGGATAAGAGGGACCGTTTTTCCAAGAAATGGCGACCAACAGAGGAGTCATTTGATGGCTCTTCCTTCAACAAGAGGAGTCCGACCCTTCTGCAGAAGCTTCTTAGTGCTGATATAAGGAAGGATAAAAGCCGGTTGTTGCAGGTTTTCCGATTCATGGCTATGAATTCTTTCTTTAAGGATTGGCCTGAGAAGCCGTTGAAATTTCCCGTCGTGATTGTTAAAGATGGTGCGTCCGAGGGTGAGATCATTGAAGAGAAACCCTTGCTTGGTGGGGAAGATAACATTGAAATATGCAACAACAAAATGACTCAATGTATCGTTGATGCCACTGGTGATGACGATTTCGAGAACAACAACGACAATGAAGATGACGACAAAAACCATGGCACAAAGGTTGCTTCGTACATTCAGGAGAAGCGAGAGAAAATTGCCAGGAATGCCGAGGAAGAGGAAGAAATCATCGACTAGGTAAATTTTCTCCCCCGCCTCATCTAGATGCTGCTCCCTTTAGTCATGTTTGTGCATAGCATATCATAGCTCAGCTTAGCATATTTTGAGTATAATTTTGAGACGACTTTAAACAACAAGGGACTGGACATTTTTGACATACTCTTGATGCTCAATGTCTTTTTTGTAATTTAGCTTTAACTAAAATGTTATTGTTTTTTCCAAAACTGTGGGTGAATAATACTTCTAGGTGGAGTGGTAAAAAAATTATATATCAATTTTATTAAGTGTAATTTTTTTGGGGGGATGTTTTAGCTATTTGTTATTGATGAATTGATGCTAGACTAACAGGTGATACTTGCGTTTTTCGGAAAATGGTTTCCTTATTTTTTTTTCTCTGTTTGATAGTTGAAAAATAATTCTTGGAAAATATTTTTCGGTGTTTGATAGCTGTAATTGGTCTTACGAAAAATATTTTCGAGTGTTTGATAGTTGGAATCCATTTTTCAATGTAATTCATTTTCTAGTTCCTTTGTATTTTTTATAATGTTTTATCATCTGATTTTTCGTAAAACATTTTTTTAACTTTTCTGTTGAACCATGTTTTGTATTTTGATATACCAAAAGTGAATATTATTTTAAAGAAATTTTAAGATTGTTTTACATTTGATTTTCAAATTAATATTCGATCAAATTGTTCGAATATTGAAATTCTTTTTAAGATTAAAAACCCCATTTTTACTACATATTCTTCTTGAAAATTGAAGTTATATATACTGGAATAATTTTAAAACAGTTTTACAAAGGGTTTCATATTTTAATCGAGTCAAAAATTGATTTTAAACTTTGCAGTACCGATACTGCAAGAACAATACCAATATTGTTCATATATTATTGATACCGGTATTGATACTATTGTGTAAAAATAGGTAGTAGTACTGATACTCGATATGGAAATACCGATACTCCATTAATGGTTTTGACAAAAAACGAATTTCAGTAGCTATTTTTGGTATTGATATTGTGCTAGATACTCTTACTAGAGTACCGATACTCCCATCTTTCGACCGTCAAAATTTTTGTAATTAATGCAGTCAATACCGATACTCTAAGCCTGAGTATCGATACTCAAGGAGTCTGAGCAACATTTAATGTGAGAAACTTCATCCCAACTACTCTATTAACTCCCACAATAACCTAAAGGTTAGAGTTGAATGAAGGATATAAAAACAAGATTTCAAGCCATATGTGAATACAAGAGATGAAAAAGAAAGCTAAAACAAACACATTGAGCCAAAATCAAGTCAACATTCTTCGATATTATTTTTGCTTTTAAAGAACACTATTATACTTATTTCTTGAGTAACACCACAATAGACAAAAAATTGTTCCGTAACACCGCAACGAATTTCCAAATTACCCGAAATATAAAATTACATTGATAAAATACTCAAATATTTTGACTGAACAATAAAATGATATTAAATATTAACAAACATTTAACTTAGGATACATCTCTATATAATAATTGAAGATTGACTATAAGAATATACCATTAAACGATAAATAATATTAGAATACTAAATTTTGGATGTAAAATGTATAAATATAATGTATTATAAATAATATGATTTTTTAGAAACAAATCACGGCCGCAACAACCTTTACGTATTATGTAACGTTCGTAGCATCCATAATCGTGACATCACAACCGCATCAACGACAGACACCGCAACCACAATTTAATACTATGGTATATGGGCTTATTAATAATCACCGGAATGAAGACTTTGGTGACCTTTTCGTGATAACTAAAACCCTCCCAGAGTGCTCCTCTTGAAACCCGCTTGCGGAGATTATCTACGAACGCCGTCCACTCCTCACCGTCACTATAAGACCCCGATTTCCTTGTGGCTGCAGCTTACTCTCTCTCTCTCTTCATCATATATTTATGAGAATCACACCCTTATTATTCTTTAATTTTTAAAAATTAATATAAACAAAATAATTAATATCATATGTTAAATATCCATTAGTTGATGAATTTTTTAACTATTGTTTACGAGATTAATTTAAGCTAAACGACTTTTTTATCAAAACATTAATTGACCCTTTATTGAATGAAGTTAACAAAAGAAACAAAACACAAGTCTCAAGAAGTCCAAACGAGAATACAACTAAGCAAAATACACAAAATAAAACAGACACCACTATCAAAAAAAAAAAAAGATGGATAATCGTCTTCTCCACAACCCAACTAAACCCATAAAAGCTTCAAGAGGCGAAGACCAACAGAGAAAAATAGAACCTTTCACATTCTAACAAGAAGGAGAGAGAGCCCCTTACGATGACTCCAACCTGCGCATATCCTCAGCAACTTGCTCTTCCACTGTTCGAGGAGCCTCCTCGATCCAGAACCGATCGTCTTCATCATGATTATGCATCATCGCCAACAAGTGTGCTGCTTTGTTACCCGACTGGTGGATATGCCGATAGGTATATGCATGTATTCCCCTCGCTTTGCCTTTTTCTTCCCATATTAGCGCATTGATCTCAGAGTAATCAGTATTCTCTGAGGATAACTTTGAGATCACAACTTTCGAATCCCCCTCGATCACCATATCCATGAAGCCCAAATCAACAACAATATCTACATCGTGAATGGTCGTCGTTACTTCAGCCGCAAACGCCTTGGTAATCCGACTCATCTTCCTCCTACTCGCCCCCATAATGTTACCTGCAACATCACAGATTAAAATGCCTGACCATGCTGTATTCCTTGCTTATTTGAAACATGCATCGAAGTTTATTTTGACAGACGGGGAGACGGTGGACTCCACTAAGCCATAAAGCCTGATTGTAACGGTTGGATCCTCACATTTGCCATGACAAAGTCTTGACATTGAGCACAAATAAAAGTAATAATCTCATATACCCCCATCTTTTTCCCTTCATGGTACTGTAAATTATGTGCATGTCACAGTGCCCAAATACCAACAAAAATAATCGATCTCATACTAACTGAAAGATGAGTTAAAAGCCATCCAAACCACTGTTGAAAATCAATCGAGTTATGTTGAGAATGCCAATGAATTGCTAACCCCTCCCACGCTGCACTAGCTAATAAACAATCTTTGCTTATATGTACATTCGATTCAATTACATTCAAACAATTCGGGCAATAAGGATCTGCAACTAATCTTTTAATAAAAAAGATTTTGTTTTGAAGGTATGAACTTATTAAAAAATTATCACACATGAATCCTGATTTTTCATTGACATGCGCACTCCCAAAAACACTTGAAGAACTCCGCAGATAATTGTGAAACTTCATCCTACCTCGACTGCAACTGGTAACCACTACACACACTGTACAAACCAGACTTTCCCCCACACCATACACGGCAATCTGCCTGCAAAAAACATGAGATAGGCATAGCCATAATTTTGTCTCTATACTTCTCCAAAAAAATGGTCGAGATAAGCTCCACGTTTCATTATCTTGACTCCTTCAACATAAGATCTAAAACATGTGAAACCGAATCAACATGAGGAGTTAGAACTTTTTGTGGAGAGCACCCCGGAGCTAGAAGTTGTTTCAGATAGAGATCGTTTCTCATGACCCCACTTTCCATCGTAAACCTTTCTCAAGCAAGCCTTTCGAGCTCCAGATACTTCGTCAAATGTAAGACGGGTGAGACACGAGTCTTGAACCAAGGAACACCCCATTCGGGTAATATTTCGCTCTGATGAGGCGACTAACAAGAGAATTAAGATTTGTTAACAACCGCCAATGAATACCACATTTTTTTCTCCGACTTCTGCCACCAAAACCGAGCTATAATAACCTCTAGCTCTTTGTACTAGCTCTTCGGGAGCAAAAAACAGGACATAGCATAAAGCGGGATAGCTTGGAGAACGAACTTGATGAAAATCTCTTTCCCCCTGTGAAAGTAAGCAAATGCACCAATTATGGATCCATGATTGAAATTTGTCATTCAGATTCAAAAACGCCCCTCTTTTATTCCTTCCTATAATTGTGGGGAGACCCAAGTACTTTTCAAGATTGGAAATACTCTCCACCTCAAAAATTCGGCAAACATCACTTCGGTTCATATCAACCACATTCGAACTGAGAAAGAGGCCCAACTTCTAAAAATTAATAAGTTGACTCGAACTCTCTCCATAGAAACGCAACAAGACCTTCAACCTAGCTGTACATCCTGCTGTTGCCTAACCTAAATGAAATTTTAAACATTTTAAATAATAACATAATAAATGTTAAATACATTTGATTGAAAAAAAAATACTTAAAACAAATAAAAGACATAATTTAAACATTTAATTTTCAATTAAGTTTTAATTATATAAATATTTTGATAATTTTTAGTCGATATATTAACATATGATAATATTAAAATATTATTTTTTTGAACAAACTAAATTATCTCAGTGATTAAATGAATTATTGTTATTGCTAGAGGTCTCATGTTCGAGCTCTAGAAAGTATAAAATATTTGAGTATTTATTGTCAGATTGAGCGTCTTTCGAACAAATATTATTATTTTTAAGTACATTAGATTAATAAAAATTCATTTTTTTCCGAATGCAAAGAATAAATAAAATAAATTCAAAAACTCTTGTTCGTTACAAACTACCTAAATCGTACTGTAAAACGTGCATCACTTCATATGGAGAAGAAATAAACATGCGTAAATCTGTTTAGGGTAAATTAAAAATTTGGTAACTGAACTTTATTATCTTTTCTATTTCATTCATTGTACTTTAAATCTTTTCAATTTTCTAACTAAACTTAATATATTGAATTTTTTTGGTCACTCGGCCGTTAAACAATTATCAGTGTTAAAATGAGCTGTTATATAGATTTTTTTAAATGGCACCATTTTAACACCGTTAACTATTTAACTACATGGTGACCAAAATAAGATAGAGAGATTAAAGTTCAGTTACCCTGTAGTTAAATAGTTAACGGTGTTAAAAATGGTATCATTTTTTTTATAGAAAAACATCTATATAACAACCCATTTTTAACACTGGTAATTGTTTAACGGCCGAATGACAAAAAATTCAATATATTAAGTACATTAGATTAATAAAAATTCATTTTTTTTCCGAATGCAAAGAATAAATAAAATAAATTCAAAAACTCTTGTCCGTTACAACTACCTAAATCGTAATGTAAAACGTGCATCACTTCATATG